GCTTCAAATGATTGATGAATTATTTCAACTTTAAATATTCTAGACTTGGATGATTTTGGGATTCTAGATTTTGTGGTATTTGGGTGGGCATTTTGAATATTTGAAATTAACCCCTCCGGTTGAGATCTACATTCAACACGACCATCATCGGGGTGTTTGGCGGTCATTTCTATTTATGGATTAAACCTTGTCAACTCTGCCGAGCTGTCAACAGAGGATCGGCTTCGTTGCTTACTTTGTGGTTTTGTTAATGAATTTTCTTTGTTGGAGGCCATGAAGGTCTTGTATGAACTTATAAAATAAGTATTTCGGTCGACACCCTGACCATATATCTATTTGATAATTCGAGCCGTGTCGACTCTTATCTATCCATATAGAAGAATCGGGTTCGAACTACGTACATTTATTGACCTGCGCAGTATCCCTAGATGTCACGTGTGTATCCAAAACACACTCGCCGGGGCCCATGAGGGTGTTTGAGGGGCATTTTATAATTATTTGTTAAGCCTTATCGACTTCTATTTACCTGCTTAGGAGGATCATGTTCAAATTTGGATTCATCATTTGACTCGCACAACATCCATAGACATAACGTGTGTATCCATAACACGCTTGCCGGGGTACATGCGGGTCTTATGATTATATATGCCTCTATGTGTACCTATGTGCATATATATTACAGTGCATGTGCGGAGCATTGCATGCAACACAAAGGGGTGTCCGACTGCATAAGTGACTATTATTACTGAATGCGCGGAGCTTTATTTTAAGCTTTATTGACGCCTCCTATTTGTTTGTATGAAGGTTGCAGATCCGATGGTGTGGCGTTGCGCTTCAGTGGTCCATGGTTCTTACTACCGATTTCCTGCTTTTACTTACACGTGAATCGTAGCGTTGTCACCTAATTCCCATGAGATATCTCATTGTTCTGATGTAAACTCCATTTTTTCAGTCACCCTTAAAATAATTAATTTTAATTAGAAAAATGCATGATTTGTACAGGATTTATGCTAAATCCTCCGTAAATCTTACAGCAGAATAAATTCTCCATTTCCCTCTTGTTTTTCCCTAAGGGGCTGTTCGACAACATGATTTATAGGATTTGGACTACGAAGCTTGTCGAACGAAGAAAGTTACCTTCACAGCGTGCGGGCTCCCGTCACTGCCTCCAATAAAAATGACGTAACTTCCGATCCCATGGGAAGGGAAAGGCATTGAAGGAGCGTAGTCAAACAACCATGAAGGAGCCGAAGAAGCACTCAGAATGGAGAAAGTTACCTTCACTGCACGTGAGCTCCCGTGGTTGCTTCCGATCAAAATGTCGTAACTTTCGATCCCATAGGAAGGAGCGTCGTCGGAGGAGCAAAGTCGAACAGCAACGGAAGAGGCCGCAGAGGCAAGTGACAGGGAGAAAGTAAACTTCACAGTGATCGAGCTCCTGCCACTGCTTCCGATCAAAATATCGTAACCTCTAATCCGAAAAACAGGGAATGTCGAATGAGCGAGCTCGAACAATGATGAAGGAAGATGAAGAAGGTGGAGCGTGCAAAAAGGAGTGCGAGAAAGCAAAGTGGTCGAATGCCTCATTCATGCGATCATTTAACGACGCGAAGTTGAGATCGTGCGGAGAAAGGTCGAAGGGGTATCGACGTGCAAACGACGTGCAAGCAGGATTTGGGGCAACGTGCGTTGTTCAGGTACGACGCTCTCTTTTTATTTTTGCCACGACTTACGGGTCAACAAAATCCTGAGATAAAATTATAATTATATCATTGTATAGATAGGCTTATAGCTGATTAATCTAAGAGAATAAATGTTGACATGCAACTAGTACTTCTCAGAAATAAAGAGCTTTTTTTTACTGCAACAAGCAAAAGACACTATTTCCAAGCGATTTTAGGGAATTTGATTTATTTCTTTAATGTTGGATACAAATTTATATATGAAAATGATTCATTCTACTTAATATACTCATTTATCCAAATCTCATTTAAGTGGTGAATATAATTTGGTGACAACACTCCAAAACTACAACATTTTGCTTTTAAAGTTTTGTGATTATCGTAATCTTCATCTGAATGTGAACACAATTGGAGTGCATAAAATCAAATGCACACGAAGGGGAGTAATCATTTAACAATATTAAGAATGAAGTCCTTGGTGTACATTATGTGCAACAAAAGACTTAGAGACATAAAATTGAAGAAGAAATGGATGCAGGTTGATGAAAACCCTTAAATTTGTGAGGACGTGACATCAAATGATGAATTGTTTGTAGATGATAAGTGATTTGTAGATGATGAAGTGGAAGTAACACCATTTGAATTACTAGATGAAGATTTGAATGTTGATTGCTTTGATAGTGATAGAAAAAGAGCATCTACATCCACCACAATCCAACTACATAAACAACTAAAGAGAAAAGGTACATAAAAATAATTTATTTTGTAAAGTTCATTTAATTTAGAGTATTACTCTCATCTTCATATTGATAAGGAAGAGGAAGATAACTAAACTAGATGAAAAAGAAGCAAATTGGGAGGCATTAGACTCCACAGGTGATGAGGCAAGGAAGAGATCATTTTATTATAACGAAGACTCAAATGAAAACCCTCTTAGTAATGACAACACAAATGAATTTTGATTTGTCATACTATTTTTATTTTTTAAAGAAATGAAATGTATATGAGTAAGGAACTGAAAAAGAAAGAATATCAAGTTAAACTTGATGATATAATGTTATATGATATTTTTATGATGTGTAGCTATTATGATATTTCTATTTTAATTCTATTTAATGCAATTTATCACTTATCACTTTACGACTTGTGGAAATTTTTGTTTCATATATATGTCAATATGCCTTGCGAGCAATCTACTGGGCCTGTACAAGCCCAAGGGTGTGAGTTCAGCCGTGAAATGGCACGTGAACTAAGCACATCAAACTCGTGAACTGAGCTCATCGGGCTCATGAATTGAGTGATCTAATGGCTCGTGAACTGAGCTTGATAAGATAATGAGCCAAACTTGAGTCTGCCCCAACTTGACTCATTAGCTCGTGAACCACCTCCTTTAGAAAATTTTAATATAAAATATACTTAAAATATATTAAAATTTAGAATATTAAGTACAAAGTTGTTAAAAATATTTAAGAATAATATTTCACTTTCTTAAATTAAATGATTATTATTTTTTATTTATCATTCTTTTTTATCATTTTATTATAATAATTGCTTAAATTATAATCATTTTCTCTCTTTCATAATAAACAAGTCGGCTCGAACTCATAGTAAAAGCTCGAGCTCGAACTCGATTAATCAAATCAAGCTCAAGCCAAGGGTGACTCGAGCTCTGCTCGACTTATTTAAACCCCTATGCAAGCCAGATAAAAAAGTCTAGCGTAAAGGGCAGAGTGGGTTAGATCACAGAGGAAGGGGAAGGGTGTTGTGGTGGTTAGAGGGTGGCTACACCTCTCTACACCATGTTATAAGGGAAATATTTTGTTTTGTATATTCATTAGAAGAATACCTTAAAAATAGAGGAGCATATAATTTTATGAGGATCAATCAAATTAACATACACCTCGTACTACATCTAGTTAACTTTCCAATATGGATATTTTCCTACACTAGCAAAAGCATTGTCTATCGCAGAGTTTTAATACAATTTGCTAGGTTTTGTTGTACTACTGTAAGAATTACAGTGTCACTGCACCGTTATAATCACACACATATATCATAAAAGCATACTGCTTAGCTGCTCTGTATGCAAAACTATTGTCGTTTCTACAATCAATCGGTTTGCAAAATCATGATCAATTACAAGGTATTATCTTGCTTGGCGTCATGTAAATCTCTCCCAGCAAAATTCAACATCAAGTTTGCATGTATTAGTATTACTGTGCTTTCCAAACTCATTCATTTTATATTTTGAACACTGACTGCATCTAGTTTGGCTATTATGTTCATTTAGTAGTTGCTATCAAATGCAGTGCACACAGACGCAAAAGAAATTGAAAGCAAAAAAATTAAAATTAAAATTATGACATTATTAGCAGAAGCAGTTCATGACAGGATATTCTTCCTAACTGCAGATCCGTCTAACCAAATAGAATCTAATAAGCAAAAATCTTGCCATCAGGTGTTGTTGTGGAGTATCGCAAATAAAAAAGAAGAAGAAGAAGATCCATTTAATAGCCAAGTGAATGTATAGTAAACCATAAGCCAATAACCTTGCTATCTCAAAAATTAAAGTTCAAAGGCATAATTTTAAGGTAGAAAACCCGATAGAGAGGGGACTAAAATATCAAAAAAGAAAAAGCTATGGTTTTGAAAATCAAACCGGACCGGACAATTTGACTAGTTCAACCGTGAACCCATCATATGGCCAGTTCGATCCTCACAAAAAACCAGCCCAATATCAAACCGGTGAGAACTGGTTTGAACCAGCTTTGAACCGCTGGTTCAACCGGTCAATCGTTGAATTGGTCCTGATTTTGAAGAACCAGTCGGTTCAATTCATAACCATTTTCAATAAATTAATTTAATATAAAATATTTGATAAAATATTAAACTAATTTAATTATAACACATTTTATTTAATAATGAGCTGAAATTTTTATAATAATCATATATCCATTAAGTGAATTTAATATATAATTTATGGTTTTAAAATTTATCTAAATATATAACATAAATTAACAATAGTTTATAATAATTCATATTAAATTTAACATAAATTAGTAATAATTTAAATTAAATTTCTAAGTTTATATATAAACTAAATTTATTTTTAGTCACAAATTTATATCATTATATAATTATTATATTATTTATTTATTATTAAATAATTATAATATTTATTACCCAGTTCAACCCTGATATAATCCCGATCGAATCATTGAACCTTGAATCTCTCATATTTCCAATCTGACATCCGATCTAATTTTCACAACCATAGAAAAAGCACGTATAGAATACCTAAAAAAAGGAGTAGAGCACCTGGTAAGCAAGTGTGTAGGCATTAGTGATATGCCGTCTCTCTAATTCTTCCATGATCAACTCCACACACTCCTCCATCTCTGCTTTGTATGGATCCCCAGCTTCTTCAACATATGCAAGTGGAACTCCGTGGGCACTAAAGAATATCATAACCTGAATTTCAATCAACCCACATTGTGAGCAAATGAAGTTTGTCAACAACATGAGATATTTGTCGGAAGTATGAAAATGAATCGATGATACATCACAACAGGCAAAGCTCCACATAACTCAAAAGCATAAACACAAACTCCTTGTTATCTCTTATACTTCGTGTTTTCCAGTTTATTAAATTCACATACAAAGCATTGTCCAACTCTCTTAAAAAGTCTTATCCAATTGACCCTCCTAAAACAGGCAACTTTTCATATTACAAATGACAAACTCCTAGTCAAGCGTATAACCAAACTGTGTTTAAAATAGGAGAGGTGTCCCTATAACATTCACCTATACGCCAAATAACAATTCAACAGGACCTTACACCCTACGCTGCATTATCATTCCCACAAAAAATAAATACAACAACAACAATAACATCAAGCCTTTGTCCCACTACGTGGGGTTGACTAAATGAATCCTTTTTCGCCATTGTGTCATGTTAAAAATCAAATTCTCATTTAAAACTAATAAAGAAAGATAATTTCTAATATTTTCTAACCAAGTCTTTTTAGGTCTACCTCTACCTTTCTTAACAAAAGTACCAAACTGTGTTTAAAATAGGAGAGGTGTCCCTATAACATTCACCTATACGCCAAATAACAATTCAACAGGACCTTACACCCTACGCTGCATTATCATTCCCACAAAAAATAAATACAACAACAACAATAACATCAAGCCTTTGTCCCACTACGTGGGGTTGACTAAATGAATCCTTTTTCGCCATTGTGTCATGTTAAAAATCAAATTCTCATTTAAAACTAATAAAGAAAGATAATTTCTAATATTTTCTAACCAAGTCTTTTTAGGTCTACCTCTACCTTTCTTAACAAAAGTCAAATCTAATACCTCAACTTGCCTAACCGGGTCATCGGAAGGCCTCCGTTTAAATGTGACCAAACCATCTAAGCGACTCTCTCTAATTTTATCTTCAACTGGAGCTACTCCAACCTTTTCACGTATATGCTCATTTCGTATCCTAGTGTACTCTTATTAATAACTTGATCACCCAAAGTCACAATCCCCTCACTAGGTCTATTGCTACTAAAATTACACTCTATATATTCAATTTTTGATCTACTCAAGTGAAAATCTTTAGACTCTAAGGTTGACCTCCATAATTCAAGTTTACCTTCAACTCCCTTTCTAGTCTTATCAACAAGAAGAATATCACCAGCAAAAAGCACCACACAAAATAAATAAATAAATAAAATAAACAACAACAAAAACATATAAAGATAAAAGTTGCAGATGTATCAATAGGAGATGGACCTTTTGACGGCTCTCAAAATTTTCCAACTCTTTTTCAATTAGATTTGCCATGGCTTTAATATATCCTTCACGCTGGTACCATGAGGGAATGACAGTATGCTGCATATTGACTAAATATTCATCCTCCCTTCAGAAATACAACAAATACATAAGATTTTCATTTTATTTTAAAAGCATCATAATGGCATTTCAACCTTAAAAGTCACGACCTGAAAATACTCTCTAGTAAACGAAGACTTGAACCACTGGTTGATATTGAGAATTGTGGATAAAGAGGAAGAACGACAAGTTTTGTGATGCCATCCCTTTTGATCTGCAGGAACAAAATCGTTAAGTTGCAAAGTATCTTGCCATTAATTTGCACGGAATTTAATTTACTATGATATATCGACTAGAATATTAATGTACAGCCAAATTTGCATTTCAAAACATCAGACGCAGTGAAATCTAGTCTGCAAGTAGAGATATTTCCAAAAAAGTAGCTGGAACAGCGTTGATTCCTATTAATTAGGGATATTTCCTCATCCCAAAACTAGAAAACATATGAATTGCGAGCTGGGGCTACTAAAAAATCCCATAAAAATAACCTATTATTTTTAATACTCAATCAGTAATTGTATAATAGGGGGAAAAAAAACTTTTTTAAAAATATCACAAAATAAAGCTATCTATTATTTGCATTACAGGGAAAAGCCCAAAATAATACTCCAACTATTTATATGTGAAAAATTTAGTCTCACAGTATCACACTTATTCAATTTAATCGGCCAACTATTAAAAATTTCATAAATGGCCCCCCCCGGGGGACCCAAAAGAGCTCACAACTCTACTAAAGATGAAAAAGAAGCCAGGAGAGACGCTAAGGAGCTTCATAATGTGATTCTAGAGAGATTCTAGAAGTGAAAGACCTCGAGCTACTATCACTTAGGCCACTTGACCCAAGGACTAAAAGACGGTTTGTTCAAATATGCATTTGGCTTACAGCAGTTGAAGACTCTTGCTGAGCAGTTGGAGCTGGCCAACAACTATGTAAATGCAAAGGAGTACAAGAGTGGTCAAATCTTCCTAGGGCACTTTCCCCCACATGACCGTTGCTAGGAGAGAGCAGCTATGGGGAAGAGAAGAAGAAATATTTTGCACTAGGGATAGGAGAGGCCGAAGAGATCTCCCACCGCACTTGTCATCGTGTTGAGCACTAGAGAGAACACATGCAACCAAGGACACAGAGAATTATTGGACCGCCAATGCCAAGGTGGAAGAGCCTCCACGTGCTACTCACTCATAGCTGGAAGAATCTGCCAGCCGACCATCTACCTACCCTACTTACACTCCCTTGAGAGTATCAATGGCCGAGTTAGTTGAGGCAATCCAAAACAAAGAGTTCTTGAGGCGCCCAGTGTATATGAAAGCGACTGCCCACACATGTGATACCTCAAGGTACTGTGTTTTCTACAAGGACAACAGCCATGACACAGAGTGTCGCCACCTGCAAAGTCTAGTAAAAGAATTGATTAAGACTAGAAAGCCAAAAGAGTACATGCTCACTAAGCTAAGGCAGAAACGAGCGAAGGCGTCCATAGGAAGGGCGAACGAACAAGTGTTTACCCATTCAGTCCATATCGCTAGAGTGGTATCCACCATCTTGGGGAATAAGCGAGCCAACTTGGCAAAGAGTGCGAAGAGGCTACGAGCTTGAAAAGCAAACTCAACATCTACCTCGCGCGCTCCAACAGTAGATGTCGCCCCAATCACCTTCAGCAAAGTCGAAAGCCAACCAGAGGGAACCAGCATACCGACGCTATCGTCATCACCATGCTGATCATCAAGTATCAAATTGGAAGCATTCTGATAGACACAGAGAGTTCTGTTAATATAAATTTTAAATATATTTATGAAGATGAATTTACTTGCCTCTCAGCTCCCCCGTACTACATGACCCTTGTACGGCTTTTCAGGAGAATGACAGGAGACAAAAAGAGTGACTGCTCTGCCTGTCACTTGTGGAGAAGGCGACCATTAGTATACAAAAATAGTTGATTTCAACATCGTCGACACCCCTGTCATCTACAACGCCATATTCGACAAGCCCCTAGAAAACATTTTCCAAGTCGTCGTGTCTACCTACCACGTTGCGATCAAATTCCCAATTAGAAAAAGGGAGATCACTGTAAGAGGGGACCTCACTCAGTTGCACACTTGCTACCTAAGGGCGATAGGGAAGTTGGTGACCACCACAGAAGAGGTCCTACAACTAGACGTGGAATGAGTTCCAGGCTTGGAGACCATAAAGGCAGTGGAAGATGTGTATGTTGTTGATAGTGAGTTAGGAAAGACTCTCATAATAAGTGCTTCCTTTAGCGAGGAGCATAAAAGCGAGATAATCCCGACCCTCAGGAGCAACCTGGATGTTTTTGCAGGGATCCCCATTGAGTTGACATGGATCAATGAAGAGGTCACATGGCATCAACTCAATGTGACGAGAGACATTCGGCCCATCAAACAGAAAAAAAAATGACGTCTATATTCATCGAGCCTATTAGAGAAGCGCAAAGCTTAAGGACGTCGACTTCATCAGAGAGGTCTGATACACTGAATGGATCTCAAACGTGATGATAGTGCAGAAGGCCACTTGCAAATGGAGGATATATGTGGAGTTCATTAATCTGAACTCGACGCGCACCAAAGAGAGCTACCCACTGCCTAAGATTAATGCCTTGATCGACTAAGTAGTAGGCAATTCAGTTATGAGCTTCTTGGATGTCTTCTCGGGCTATCATCAAATAAAAATGCAACAAGGCAACTGTGAGAAAGACTTCTTTCATCATCGCAGAAAGCTTGTACTACTACAAGGTGATGCCCTTCGGTCTGAAGAATACAGGGAGACTCTCAAAGGATAATGGATAAAATGAGAGAAATATATAGATGTATGTAGATGATCTCTTGCTAAAGAGCAAATCACCCAACCAACAAATTGAAGATTTAAAGGAGACGTTTTCTACCTAGAACCCTCATTTGGGGCAAGATCAGGAAAATTCTTAGAATTCCTCACGCCTGAGAGGATCAAGGTAAATCCTGATAAGATGAAGGCAATCCTAGAGATGCGGTAACCCACAACGGCTAAGGAGGTACAACGAATCACTGAGTCAATAGTCAGGCTCAACCGTTTTATCTCCTAACTGGGTGGAAGGTGCTCGACCTTCTTCAAGGTACAAGAATGCAAAGTTCCCTTGGAATGAGGGCAGCGAAGCTGGCTTTCAATAGTTGAAACTTCTCACCTTGCTGCCTCAACTTCAAAGTCCGCAATAAGGCGCAGACCTATTATACCTAGAGGTAAGTGAGGATGCCATCAACTTTGTGCTTGTTAAAGAAGAGGGAGAAAGGCATGTGAGCAAGTAGTGACTGACCATCCTCTCAAAGCTATGCTAGCCAAGCCAAATCACTCAAGAAGGTTGCTCAAGTGGTTGATGGAACTAAGTGAGTTCCAAATCACTTACATCCCAAGGATGGCCATCAGGCTCAGGCACTTGCCAATTTTCTTGCATATTTTAATGATCAGAGCACAAGGTCGGAGGTAATGACTCCACAACAATACTGGACATGTTATGTGGATGGCACTTCGATAGAGCAAGGGGTTGGTGAAAGCATAATTCTGAGGAGCACTACCAAAATCACCATTACCCAGAAAACAAGTATCAAATTCTAAGTTACACATAACTAAGCTAAGTAGAAGGCTTTACTTGCTAGCTTGTGACTTGCCTCTGGGGTGGGGACCACTCAGCTGATGGTATTTTTTGATTCACATGGACAACCAACCGTACAGTTTGCAAGGCTGACTATCGAGGAAGAGGAAGTTATGTAGAACGAGGTCAATCGTCCTGCGAGTTTTTAAGATATTCCACTTCATTGATAAACCATCCACTTCATTCAACCACTTCATTGAGTACTTAAAGATGGGGACTACCAATACAAAAGTTGGCTGCAGTTTGCCGACTAGAGCCTGAAAGATTTTTTGTCACTCACAAGGGATTTGCTTCAAGTTCATATCAGTCCACCACCTGCAGACTAACAACCAAGTTGAAGTTGAAACTACCAATAAGCTAATCCTGAATCTCCTAAGGTGGAACGTGCAAAGGGTAAATGGGTGGAGACACTTCCCTCAATCCTTTAGGCACTTAGGACAACCCCATTATCAATGACTAGGCATACGCCATTCTAGCTCTCCCACGGCGTTGAGGCCCTATTGAATTCAACATGCACAATTAGAGTATGGTCAATGCCACTAACTATGAAGGAAGAGAATTCACCGAGTGCAAGGCAACCAATGGCAACGGATCTACTATAAGAGTTAAGGGTGAAAGCCGACCTCAGGAAGGAAGAGGTGAAGAGAAGAATGACTAAGTACAACAAAGGGAGAAGGCCTTCCGACCTAACGATCTCGCTGTGAAGTACTCGACAAGCTGGCAAGTGCCTAAGAAGTCTCATACATCATTAAGGAGTAGGTCACACCATGCGCCTAAAAATATTCTCATCTCTCTATATCCTTGTTCTGTGCGAGAATCATATAACTACAATCATAATCATCAAAACATGCATGAGGCGCTCACCCCGATTTCCAATAATGCTTGGGGAACTCGCACTTCCCAGAGAAAGCAAGGACTCGCTCATACATGACAATCGTCCAAACCCTTGGGGAACTCGTTTCTCCGAGCGTATGGGTGTGAAACCACTTAAGTAAAAAAAAGTTAAACTCTTAAACATCGAGGCCCATTTTTGTGTAATTCTTAAAATTTCATTAATAAACTCCAAAGTTGAGCATGCTCATGCAGGAGAAATTCTGGAATGGGTGACCTCCTAGGAAGTTACACCAAAAGGACAAAATCATAAAACCATTAGGCCAAAGCAAATAACACCTCGATAATTAAGAGTTTGGACTATTACAATGGGAACTTTAAGGTAAAGCTTGAGCAAGTTTCTAGTGAAACTAAGGACGAGAATTCATCAAAGCTTTTAGATACCGATTATGCACTAATGAAGCAAGATTTGGGAAGCAAGTTAAACAACTCCCTAAAGGAGAGTCAAGCGCCCCCCGCCCCCCAAGCACAAAGACCTTTAGACGAGCCAAAGCCCCCAAATGAAAGAAAGACGCTGCTCAAGATAGGTTCACCCCTTATTGTCTAGCAAGTATCTACAATGCGTCATGATTCAAACACCTTAATTTTTTCTAGAGGAACTTGCTCAACTTAGGCAAACCCATTATCCTATTACCTATTGAGTCTCATCAGTACTTTGAGATTCTTTATCCTTCACGATAAA